GGGGTAATAGTTTTTGGGGAAAATTTTTTTTTGGAACGGGTGGCAATTTTGGGGTCTGGGCGGCCCAAACCCCCCCAAAAAAATACCCAAAGCCCCCCCCCCCCCCCCCCCGTGATTATAAACGGCTCATTATAGAGCATTCTTTCACATCTCAAGCTGATTGTCTACTCCTCTGAATTGGAATAATTGGAAAACGATGGGTCCTCTTTTTAGATTTCCACCTACAAAAGCACGATGATACTACGGTAGGTACGGTTGACAAGAGCCGATCCTGATCAAAGCAAATTAAAAAAAAAAAAAACGTGTAATTGAGTAGGGGGTACTGAATGGATCTCCTATTAAGTTTTGGTCACGTTTGCAAAATCTCCTTTAGCTCCTTGAACATAAGCAACTTTTAAAGACTGTTAAAGTAGCCCGTGACCTCGGCGCCTGGTTCGGCTCGCATTTTTCTATGTCGACCCATATTTCTGTCTTGTAGTGCGGCATTTTTCTAGTTACATAATATCAAGAGAATAAGCCAATTTCTGCCTAGGGATAAATTAGAAATGGTGTTGCATGCCTTCGTTACAAGTAGCATTGATTATTGTAATGGACTTCTCTATGGATGACCGGACTCTGAAATAGCTAAGTTGCAAAGAGTACAGAACGCTGCAGCTAGGCTGCTTATGTCATGTAAAAAGTATGACCATATTACGTCCATTTTGACAAATTTACAATTGTTATTATTATTATTATTATTATTATTATTATTATTATTATTATTATTATTATTATTATTATTATTATTATTATTATTATTAAGTACTAGCCAGGATTTTCATCATCAAAATCGTTAAGGAAACACAAGGACAAAAGCCAGGAAATATGGAAAATATCGCCGCCGATGACGTAACACATTACTTCAATGGATATCATTTTGGCTATGTCGTGGTAAGTTCTAAATTTTAGGGTTAAAAGTGAGCTGAAACTGATAAAACTACGCACACTTTTTTTTCATGCAAAGTCGAAATGACTTTAAGTAAAGCAACGTGCAAACGGACGTAACAACTCCCAAGATTGTTGGCCCAACAATATTGGGAGTTGCGTCCTTTTGCACGTAGCTGAAACGTGTGACCGGTTTCAAACTTTGCGCAACAACTCCGGTCCCAACCACACGCAACAAAAAGCAACAGGGTGTGAAAACGGATGCAGCATATAACATTCACCAACACTGGGCCAAAAATGTTCCGTCCGTTTGCACGGGGCTTAAGTTGTAAATTCTTTTTATTATATAAATACTGGTAAAATACCAGGATTTTTCCTTTTACTTTTTCATATCTTCATCGCGCGCAGTGAAGATACTATTTTTATCTTTCCCGTGTGAGGATATTGGTGTCGCCATGGTTACCAATATGATAAGCCAATTACAAGAGAGCTTCCCGTTTTTAATAAAGTTTTCGCAGTTTTCACGACAAACTGAACTCCTCCGGACCCTGTGGAACAGGCTAAACATTTTCATTTTATCTTTGATTTATTAAGGCTTAGTTCACAAACCGGATAGCTTTTCGTGTCGACACTCTCTTCTCCGCAGATGCATCCGCAGATGAGCATCAAGTTGTGTTTTATGTAGGAATTTCATCAGTATCTATAAAATAAACAGTCCGCTCACTGGTGAGAGATACTTTCAGCACTCGAAGATAAAATTCGTATCCCCGTGCGGCCATGTAATATCGTCTTTGTCGCCTTTTCCGGCTTATTGACTGAAGCACTTTAATCGCTTACCTTTAATTAGTCCTAATAAAGACAACAAGTTAGTAATACCTCAGATTTTATTTACAAATAAGTGATTTTTTTTAGCGTTGCTTGCCATGCTGTTTTCATATCGACGTAAACACCATACCACGACGTAATCGTGCCCTACTACGCCTATTTTGACCGGCTGAGCTGATGCTCTATAGCACGCAGCTTGCTATCTGAGCGCCAAAAAGTTTCCCGCCCTTTCGAATATCATTCAAGATTCGGTCCACCAATGAATCTCGTGCCTTATCTAAAAAGCAACATTAGGGCCATTTATACGAGGAAAAATAAGACGCGTCTTACATAAGACGCGTCTTAAATGAGACGCGAACTTTCCATATAAACGGAACATTTCGTCTAAAATAAGACGCGGCTTAGCTAAGACGCGTCTTATTAGATAAGACATGCTCGTATAAATGGTACAGTTCGCGTCTTATTTAAGACGCGTCTTATGTAAGACGCGTCTTATTTTTCCTCGTATAAATGGCCCTATTATGGTTTGTAAAATATAACAGTCCAGGGAAAAAATATTTCAAGGAAACTATTAGAGTTAAGAGAATTAAAGCAAACTTTGTTTTTGAAAATAATCAATTTGTTTCAGGTACGCACGTGCAGAAGACGAACCAAACTTGGTGAGTTAAGTTCATGAAAATGTCGACGTCTAGCTCATTTACGTTCGTCGGAATGAGTTTGGATCATCTAAAACGTTCTATCCGTTTGAGCAGACAGATAGAACGTCTGTTGATCGTCTCCGAGACAAACATCGACCTTCACATAAGACGAACTAAACTAATAAATTCCAAATTTACTGATGATAATGCATTTTTAGCCTCGTTCGGAAGAAAATTTATCACTGATATGGTTGAGTTGATTGGTTCGACGCGCCTCAAGTTCGACGTCCGACCCAACAGACGATCTTAACTTAATTTAGGTCGACCAAATTAGAGATTGGTTCGTCTTATGTAACAGAGTTCGACGTTTGGCCTAGTCCTTAGTAAAATGTGAGAACATATGTTATTCTACATGACCCTAATTTCATAACCTTTTTCCTGACTTTGAAAGTCTGAAAAAAACTTACTTATCCGTGAAAACTAATTGGTGATTGGTAATTATTTTAAATTCAATAAGGACTATTTTCCCCACATCGTCGTAAGCCATACAAAACTACTTTTCTGTTAGAACACGGAAAATCCTTTAGAAATCCAAAGATCTATGACGTTCTTGAGAGGGGCATAACGCATGCGAAGTAGCAAAATGCGAAGCCCTTCAGTTATCACAAGAGCGTATTGGTTATCGCCATTGTAATGTATATGGTCTCACTGGTTACAGTTCACTGATATAGTAAAATTCGAGTCCCAGTTTCTCTCAAACACTGCTTGTAACTGCGCTCGTACAGTATTTCCAGTCTCGGTTTCGTTGATGACATAACCAATACCAGCTGTGCCCGTAAAGTAATCCGCTGACCAGTTAGATGTGCCAACGTAGGCTACAGAATCTGTGACCATAAACTTGTTGTGGTTGACACGTGCATATGGGATTTCCTTGCTGTAGGGTGGAACTTTGTAGAACTTCTGTAAAACAAAGTGGTCAAAATGAGTAAAGGTTAATAAACTGCAAACCGCTCTAACCAATACTGTTGTTATATAGCTGGAAATTTTTTCCCAACAGCGCGCGCTCTCATTGGTTACTTCGAGGTCACATGACATCTAACAATGAAACTATTTCCCGCCAAAATCTCTGAGCGGGGAACATTGCAAAAGTCTATGACGTAAGAGGGTAACAGTGCACGGTTCGCCTCGGGAAACATTGAGATTCTCGGGAAACAAACTGTTTCCCTCGAGACCAGTCATTAAAAGTTTATTAAAACTAAAAATAACATTTGTACATTTGGCGCTTATTCAAGGGCAGCATTTATTCCAGACTGGGCTTCTAGAAGTCATGGAAGGCAGTCAAAATAGTGGCATTGCTGTATGCCGTGAGACACAAGAAATTCACACTTAAACCACATTAGATTAGTCTAAATTTTAATTCACACGAAGATAGGAATGGAAAGAATTATCCAAAGAATTATGGGTTGAAGGCATAAATCCAGGAAATTTTTAGCAAAGAACATTTCAGCATTTGTTGGGACAAGACAAATTACGACATTAACGCGGATTGCAGATCGTAGTTTATTTTAAATTATTAGTAAAAACAATTATATCTAAACGTACAGAAAAACGGGCAGGCAACAGAAAGGTGCAACACATTTTGCAAAATTGCCGCAAAACGAGTTGAATAGCGATGTTTAAACTTGTCGTCTAACAATTCACGTTGATGCAGGTTGCGAAAATTTGTTGCAGACAGTAGAGAGTAGTTCTACTTTTTGCAACAAATTCTATATATGTTGCACGTTTTACCGACCCAAGGCAAACTTGGTTATGCAGCAAGTGACGTAAATCTCGTGTATGGCGTGACTTCCAACTGACACCAACTGAGTTAGAATAAGCCAGCGCGAAGGGAAAGAAAAGCTGACTGTTCATCTGACAAAAGGTTTCCAAAGATCTTCGATCGTTCCTCGGAAAGTTTCCGAAGATCTTAAATCAAATCAAATTTGCACCTACGTTAGACAACTTCAAAAGTTTTCAATGGACACAAAATTCGAGGATTTTATAGTACACTGATCAATTGCAGCACTGAAATTTTTTAAAGAAAATCTATCGACGAATTTTGTCTTATTCGCTGTTTTTGTGAAAGTAGCCTTTAAAATTACCCAAAGAACTCAGCATTGCGTTTTACCCGGATTCACATGTTTTCATGTTTTTCGAAATCGCGCAAGTCTACTTGCGTTTAGCAGGTTGTAGAGTGTATGAGGGTCATTTACAAAACGAATGGGTGAAAAAACTTTTCGAAAACATCCAAAAAGTAGCACATTTGTCTGCATTAAGTCCAGTCTTCAGTTCGTGCATAATTTATGCCCTTTTTGTAGAAATTGCAAGATATCTCGAATTCCTCTCATAGATGTTTGTGAAACTTCGCACAACAGAAGACAAGCACCCGAAGTATGGGTAGCGTCAAGCATTAAAGGCTGCAATTCGATTTAGAGCCAACACTATTGCAATAAAGATAAATTTGTTTAAGTCTTACAGATTCAAAGATGGAAGGTGTACCTACAAAAATAATTGGTCGAGCCACTTTAACCTATTAAATGTAAAAGCAAATCCAATCGTGGCTTTTTTGTGTGTTATTTCTATACCCCTTTTCCCGCGGTAGATGTATCTTTCTTGAGACGTGATTGGTTCATTTGAATAGTACCCTTCGAACTTAAATGACGTACCACTTGAACTGATGCAGCATTAGCACCATTGAGAGCGGCGAGCGATTGTAGGTAGAGCTTCATATCAGGGCGAGTGTGGTTCCATAAACTGGCTAAAAGTCGTACTTTCACTTTACGGTCAAATGCTGCTCGTCGTAAAGCATCATCTATGACTGGCCAGTACCTGGAAGAAGGTAAAGGAAATTTAAACCACCGTAAGTTTTGACTCTGAGTACTATTGTACGGAGTAAGCGTTTTAGACTATCATACTGTACAAAAACGTTCTAATTTCTGAGTCTGTGGACGAAATCCTAAAGCATGACCATTCAAGACAAAGCTAATGAGCAGTAAATTCCTGTGGTGCTGTTCATTATGCTGTATTAGGTGGTTCTAACTTCGGAGTCTGTGAGTGGTTCAACTCCTAAAGTGTTGCCATTTAAAGCAGTTAAGCTTAACTTTTCTGTGGTACTGTTTATTATACTGTCCAAGGTAGTTGTAGCTTTTGAGTGCGTGGATATGAATTCTCATATGAAAGATACTGAGCAATATTCTTTCCGTCGGTGTTGTTTATTTTCCTCTACAAGGTGGTTCCGTATCTTTTGAGCCTGGATAAAATCCTATGGTGTGATATTCCTCTTATGAAAGCTACCCGCAGTAAGTTTCTGTACATGGTGCTGTTTATCATGCTGTTAAGGTGATTCCCTGGCAATTTTGAGGCCGAGGATGAAATCATTTTGTAGGTAAGTCAAGAATATTTTTAAACTCCTTTTGTAATATGGTAATATACCTTTATTTTACATCAGTGTTATGTGAAGTTTCATGTACATTGTACATGTAATATTGCATAATGTGAGTCACATCTTAATTACAGACAACAAGAATAATTCTTGGATTAATGAATATTAGTAACATATTAAATTTTAAACCTGTGGCATTTGTGCATCAAGTGACTTGCTGCCTTTACACCACTTCACAACATTTTGTTTGCCCAAAATTAGCATTACCCCATATATAAATGGCTACACAGTCATTAAAAAACAAATACTACAAGGCTACTATTTGAAGCCACATGCCTACTGAAGTGCAAATTTCAGGTGATGTAATTCAGGGCTGTGTGTTATGACCTTGGGCTGGTTGATTTTTGGCAAGTTGACTGGCAACATACACCTATTTCGAGAAAGATTGTCTGAAAAAATATGCACGCGACAATCCCAAAAGATAACATGGCATATGATCAATACACTGTTCCTGATGTACTGTAGCTGTTGAAACTACTTTTGTTGCTTGCCATTAGCATTTACAAACATACATGTACATCCATGGCCTCTTGTGCTGTTCTTTCAAATTTGTTTGAAGAAAAATGAACTCAAACCACCCACAATACCTTTCGGGATTGTTGCGTGCACTTTTTCCAACAACCTTTCTTGAAATAGATGTAATTTGTGTAAACACAACAATGGTTTCCCAGTATTATCACCAAGGTGTTTACCAAGCGGCACTTTGAAGATTAGTACTACTAATGGTAGTTTATCATTAAACAATTTTTGGATAAGGCTTTTGTGATGTCTGGAATAATCAAGTAGTATTTTTAGTAGTATATTTTATTGATTTCTCCATAGCTTAAACAAATTTACAGATTTACAGACACGAATAATTAATTTAAAAAGGGCAAAAATACATGAAGTAATAATGAAGTAATAGATGGGAAAATATAAAGCATTCCTAATAAAGTGGATACGACAAAAAAATACTAATACAGAACAACAAAAAAGATAATTCAATAAAGCAAATATGAATAGATAAAGCAACTAAGTCAATCTAGCATTTACTTAGGTCGAATTATATATTGTGATATCAGCTGAGCCAAAGGCCGAGGCTGATAACAATATTGCCCAGACCTTAATTATTTAGGATTATTAGTGCAAAAACCAAATCTAACATTATTGTTTTAATATGCATTGTTTTGAAGAAAATAATGACAAACACATTGTCGCAATGAACCGAATGTTGTTCTTGGAAATCACGCATTGTACGCGCAACCTACAGATTAGTTAGTTATCTGCTAACAGATGACTAACTAATCTGTAAGTTGCACTAATTTCCAAAATTATCTGTTGGCTCTTAACCAATGAGGAGACAGATAATGAGGACAATGTATAATAATATTAATCATAACCATAACAAAATTGTCAAATCTGATTGGCTCTCAACTGCCCTGATTTCAGCCTTAATTGGACAGTTTAAAAGGACAGTACGCGTCATGCCTAAGTAATTGGACAGTACGCGCCATCACGCGCGCGCTGAAATGGCTTTTTTTTTCACTGCTAGCAAAACAAAATTTCGAATTTCTTGTATTTTGGTTTAAAAAATAGCCTATTGTATCACAAATTTTGTTAAAGTTATGATTAATTGGTAACAGAACTTCGTGTCGTCCAATTCATGCAGTCTGTAATCATACTCGTGATTAAACAAATCGGACTCCCGCTACGCGGTCGTCCGATTTTGTTAATCACTCATATGATTACAGACCGAATTGGACTCCACTCAGTCCTGTTACCATTACTTATTACTTACGTTCTGTTCTCTGTGTATAAGGTGGTTGGAAAATAGTCCATCACAGACACATACACAAACTGTTTTGCACTGTCAATAATTCTCAGGATGGTTGATAAATCATCAGCTCTCTCTGGAGGACACAGTTGCTTTGGAGCTGATGCTAAATAAATTCCAGCTGCATTTGAACCATTGATTTTGATTTGAGCAGGAGAATCTTAAAAAATGATAACACCAGAAATAAATATTATGATAATAAAAACAGAGGTAAAAGGATCAAAATCCTACTCACCAGGACTAGGGTGGGGGTGTAAATTAAGGAGAAAAATATTAGTCAGTCCTTATTCCAAAAGAAGAAAAAATTTGGTTATTGAAAGAAAAACACTTTTCAGATTGACTAGCTACTTATGAAAAATAGGCTGGGAGATTTAGCAATAAGAAAGGGAGAAGATAAGAAATGGATCAAATTCTTACATAATGTATTGAAAAAACCACAATCACTGATTAGTCAAAAGAACTGGATCATATGGTGAATAACAACCACAATATAGATTTAGCGGTGAAACAAATTAATAGGAAAAGATCAGCAAACGTTTTCCTCCCAAGATCACTTCCTCGGCTGATCTGATTGGGGGGGGTGGGGGGGGGGGGAGGGGGGATCGGGTGGGGGAAATTCAAAACAGCAATTAAAGCAACAATGTTTAATTCACTTTGGTAATATTAGAGGAGGCTGCGGGGGTAAGGCCCTGCGGTGGTCAATAGGTTGGGTTCTTGGGCATTCCCCCCGCCCCCTGGTGTATAACTTGGATCAGGTGTGGGAAATTCAAAACAGCAATTAAAGCAACAATGTTTAATTCACTTTGGTAATATTAGAGGAGGCTGCGAGGGTAAGGCCCTGCTGTGGTCAATATGTTGGGTTCTTGGGCATTACTCCCGCACCCTGGTGTATAAATGACTAACAGTGAACTTAGTACTGGCCGGGAGTAACATTGCAATGGACTGGCATCAATTTAGGATACATTTTTAGTTATTTCTTTTAACATAGAATCATATCAAGTAATCAATTAGTTAGTCGATGATTTTGTTACAAATAGTTATGGTGAGTCCTGGGACTCATCTTGTGAAAATTCACGAGTCCCTGTCCATAACAAATGACTCCCAGTTTAAAAAAACAATGAGCCCTAAATTGAAAATGCTTGGATGTTTATGTAACCAGACACTTAATCTGGAGACAGATGCCAAAACTCTTTATTACATGTACAGTTTACTGAAATTAAAACATAGTACTTCAGTCTATATATTCAAGGCACAAAAAAGACTGCAGAACTTAATATGCATCTTTAAACACCCAACAGCCACATTAATCACACAAACAGGATATTCTACCAAAAAAATCTTCAAATCGATTGACCGTTCCGTTGGTATTTTCCCAGCCACTTAATTCATGGAAAAAAAAAACTGGCCAGGGATAAGCACCAGCTTAAAAATGTTGACAGTCAATGATCTGCCTCAAGGAATATTACTCGAATCAATGTTTATACTCAGTGTTCTAACCTGCATTGATAGATGTTTTGTACTTGTCTGGCCACGGATCTGGAATTTTAGACTTTGGTAATGCCAGGTCCCAGTATACTTCAAATATCTTGCTCATATCCTCAGCTAAGCAACTACAGTTGTATGTCATAAGTCCGAGCTCTTGAATCTGCATCAAATTGAGCATAAATTTGATTTCCTTTGGTATTTTCTTTTGTCAATCCATACACATGTATTATTAAATTATAGTCTATTTGTATCCTGGCTCTTAGAGTTAGTTTACTTCGGACTGACTGGTCGTGTACATGTATCCTGGCTCTTAGTTTACTTTAGACAGAATGGTCATAAATGCCCACTATACTTGTGTGCAAGCAATTTTTAGGATAAAAGCCTGCACTCCTGGTGGGCGTGACCCTTGGTATTTGTTTTCAAAAGACCTGGAAGCTAATTTTTTGGAATTGGTCGACTCACCACTCTCGACTTACTCAACAGGGAGCAAAGGTGATGCAGTGGTGATAGCACTGGCCTCCCACCAATGTGGCCCGGTTCAAATCCAGGCATCGACGCCATTATGTGGGTTGACTTTGTTGTTGGTTCTCTCCCTTGCTGAGAGAGGTTTTTCTCTGGGTACTCTGGTTTTCCCCAAATCTTCAACAATTTACAAATTCCAATTCGACCAGGAATCAGGTAGATGAAGAACCACTTTGTGGATGCGCTACCTGTTTTATTATTAGTTGCTTATATATTTATTACTTTGACATTACAGTATTAGTCAAGACATAATTATTTAGGAGAAAGTGGCTCTTGAGGGAAAAAAATAATCAGGGCTATAAAAAAAACCATGAATTCAATCTTGTCCTTTGGGCATGCACAGTTCACATTTTGCTTACTTGATGCCACTTATTGTTTGTCTTAGTTAATAATTCTATTAGAACATGACTTGCTTTGACCATTGCCCATTAGACAAGACAGCTTTAAAAAGACAGGATTTTTTTCAAGCCCTGCATGATGTGATGGATATCATTAGTTATTATTATTGTCAATATTTTCTTATCTCTTTGGTTTATTTTGCCTAAAAGCTCAACTGTCAGATTAGTCTAATATTATGAGTAGCCATGCGTACTTGTGTAAGTGCCCTCCAGTCCTGGTTTGCACTGCCAACATAAAAGTGCTGACCATCAACCAGCCACATCTTTGTGTGGATGATTCCGCTACCTACTAGACGCGTCATGTCCAAAAGGCGCACTTCTGCTAATTTCTTCTTTTGAAGTTCAATTGTATCCAGGCTTGGAAATTCCTTACTTGGAGGTGACTGAACAATGCGGATCTTCACACCTTCAATACAACAATGAATCAATAACAATTTAATTACATGTAGTTTTCTCCAGTCTATAAAATAGGGTTAGAGTTTCTAAAACATTAATATAATATTGCATTAGACAGGCTACAAGACATACAGCTATTTTGAGAAAGGTTGTCCGAAAAAATGTGCACGCTACAATCTCAAAAGGTAATATGGGATATGATCAATACACTATTCCTGACACTGTAACTGTCAAACCTGCCTTTGTTGCTTTCCTTTAGCACTCGCAAACATACGTCCATGGCCTCTCATGCCATTCTTTCAAATTTCCTTGAAGAGCAGTGAACTCAAAACTGCCTACAATATCTTTCAGGATTGTCACCCGCACTTTTTGCGGCAACCTTTCTGGAAATAGCTTTATACACATGTATATTGTACTCTCTACATAAACAAAGAGAGCATCCCCAATTCCTCTTTTGAAATTTGGCTGATGTTAAAATACAGTATATGTATACATTCAATCACAGACTTGCCAACCCCGAAAAGGTAAAAAAAGGTGACATTCTGAACCTACAGCTGGGAAAGGTAGTGAGAAATGTGTAAAAAGTAGTGAGATATTGTCCCCAATTTCCTTGTTGAAAGACATCCAGCGGGAATTATTTTGGGTATTGCAGTGGCTGATCCAGACCCTCAGAGAAGAAGGGGTCCCGGTCATCCAGACCCTGAGATAAGGGGGTGGGAAGGGGGCCCCGGGCTCCTCAGAGTTACCATTCCAACAGCTTACATTCTGTACTCTTGAGATCAGGGCGGATAAAGGTTGGGCGGTGAAACGAGCGCTCCGCTCTTCATTTAATGTGTGATGCGGAGTAGGACTGGCACGAGCGCTCTTTCCGCGCTTCCGGTGCGCTTGAAGGCCGGCGAAATTTTCCTTTTTGCAAACCGGAAATCCTATTTTCTTTCTGTAATTTCAGGCTACAATGTTAAATAGATAAATTCGTTTCATAACAATATCAATAAACAGTTTCATATGTTTGTGTCTGTACGTCTATAAGTCAAACTTGTTGGTCGTATAATGCCAAAATTTGAGTTTAATTTGAAAGTGTTGAATACCTCCTCCTTCCACTTAATATCACCTAATCGTCTTTCGCCGTTTCGTTTGCAAAAGCTTAACACTTCTTAACCTCAATTTTTACATATGTTAAAGGGGGATAAATTTTATATAACATAACAGAAAATTAGATTGATATATATTGATATAGTGGCGTTGTACTTCTTCAAACTTTGCTTCTCGGGTGCAACGCGCCATGGCGATTCGCGCAATGCGTTGCAAATCCGGCAACCGCATGTAAACAAAATTTATTGAGGTTTGTTGTAAGGTTTTTTCTCAGTTTTTCTCTCTAAAACTAAACAAGGTAAACAGTAAAAACTGAGGGGAAACTAATTTTGAAGTTTCGAACAAACAGAAAGACGTATGAGATGTTTTTTTCAAAATTAAAAAGAGGGATGATGGTGATTGAAATTAGCATAATTTCACCTTGCACGAGCTGCACGCATTTAAAAAATACACGTCATCTAGTTATGAAACAAGATCTGCTGTCATTTAGTTTTGCCTTGGATGACATGGATGAGATTTTCCTTCGTGTTTTAGACAGTACTTAGTCGTTTTTGTTTTGAAATAACATCGACATTGGCGAGTAGCAGAACGAAAATATAATTCAGTGGTAGAGTCATGGAAGTAATAAAAGAAACCCTTTGAAAGAGATGTTTGTCTACTCCAACTAAACCTCCCGCAAAAAATAGCAACATTTGCCTCTCGGAGACAGCGTACCAGCACAAAGGAACGAGGAAGAAGTGCAAGAAAATAAATCAAGCTGCCATAATTCAGTGACAGCGGCAGTATCTAATGTACAAACCACATCACGAGCCCTGACCGAAGTCGAAATCAAGCAAAGCGACATTTCTAAGCAGAGTCCCAGTCCACTGCATCACACCTTTTTGCTCGGACGCGCTCGTTTCACCGCCCAACCTTTATCCGCCCTGCTTGAGATAGGTACCGGTAAGTCTTTTCCAGTTATAATCAATACTACACTACACATGTAATTGACAGGGTTTGTATTCTTTTGAGCTCTCCAAATTCCATGACTTTCCATGACTTTTTCCATGACCTTTCCAAGTTTTCTTTGACCATAAGTTTACATGTAGCTGCCACATTAGAAATTTCTAAAAATTGTCCTTGTTTTAGGGTATTTTTTGACCTAACTCAGTACAATGGACAAACTGCGGTGTCCAATAAAATGTGTACCATTTGCACTGTTCAGTTACTTCTCTCTATCTTATTTGTCCTTGCCTTGTCATCTGCAGTTAACTAATTTATCAACCAAAACTTTAATTTCCCATTACTTTCCAGGACCGACAATTTAAATTCCATGACTCTCCAGGCCTGGACAATGAAATTCTTAAATTTCATCACTTTCCAGGTTTCCCATGACCTGTATGAACCCTGATTGATAACAATCTAGAAATCAATCATTATCGATTTCTATCAATAATTGATAGAAATATCGATTTCTGATATCTGCAATTATTGCAGATATTAGAAATCGATATTTCACTAATGATTGATATCGATTATTAACGATGGTTATCGATTATAGGTTTATCAATTAACTACGCCTGGATTGATTTACATAAAAGCAATAACCACAAAAACTTTCTTTTTCCAAGAAGTTTGCATAGTGGCTGACCACGTGAAACAAACATGTAAGTTTCACGCGATTTTTTATGGCCCACCTCGTTCACCAGCAGCCTCCAAGCTCTGAAACACATCCTCCCCCTGCTTAGTGCTCGGGTCAGAAGTGCTGGTATCATCTCCTCGCAGCGTCCAGTAAAACGACGCTATGTCGATCTCTTTGGTTGCCATCTTCAGCAGGTTCTTCCACCCGCTGTAAATGGACGGGTTATGAATTGAACCTTTAGGAAAAGCCACGTTTTCGGGAATGCTTTCAACAAGGGTAATTGTGCAATCGCCAGTGCAAGCAACATCTGGAAGTTTGGTCGTCTTTGTGTTGGTGTTTTTGGGAACGACGAACTGCAAGATGATCAAAGTTAATGCGATGATTCCGAGAGCTGCAACAGATATAACAAGGAACCGACAACGAACGCTACCACGGGAAAAACGCTTTGATTCCGAAGTTACAAACACTTGCGGCTTTGAGTCCGTCTCCATCATCGGTGAATAGTCAGCGTGTAAAGACATATGATACGCTGGTGGTGATGGCTCTTTTTAACTTTCGAGATCACGAGACACACCATGAAACATCAACAGACCGTTCCTGAATAACGAGCAAGTGCCGTTCCAGACGCATAAATTATGCTAAGCAGCGGGTATTTTCGTCTACTTAACTCACGCAAGCTACGTTATATAAACCTACACGTATTGTCTAGCGTACCTCAACGCAGCCTTCAATGACCCGAATAATTTCCATATTTCGTCACGGCAAACGAATACTCAGCGGGGGCTGCTGACCCAGCAATTACAAACTGTAACAAAACTATGCATTTTGACTCGCCTTTATTGTGAAATTAAGATTGAAGAAAAAAAGAGGAAAATAGACCGATAACTAATAATGGGCTTAAAAATTTCACCAGAAGAATAGTTTGCATAGACAACGACACAAGAAAAACAACTCATGGTTTGTGTAAAAATATTACCCCATGCAGGGCAATCCAGATTCCGGAATCCGTAAAATTTTTGTATGTGGAACCCGGAATTTCGGAATCCACATGCCACTCCATTTTTCCTACTTGGCATCCAAGCCTTTTTGTCAACTTGTAACCAGGCCTTGATTAGAATCAAGATGGCGGTGCAAAGAAAGTTCGTCGATAAAGGATTGTTAAAAAATGTCATTCGTCATACAGATGCCTCCAACAAGGTAAGTGTATACTTTTGTCACATATTTATAGAGTTTCTTTTCGTCTTGAATATTGTGTTAAGAAAGCTGTTATGTCCATCTCTTGAGAGCACAAAAACAGACAGCCGGCTCTCGTGCCCCTTCTTCCACACTCAACCAAAGGGACAACCAAACACAAGTTTGTGTTCGCAGGCTACTTAGCTTGGGATAGTTTATTGAAGCTTTGGTTAACAGCTCTAGAGTTAAATTGGATGAAACTTCACAAATGAATTCAACTAATTAATAGAGCTACGCTTAAATGTAATAATCCATGAAAATCATTCAATAAAATCCGTATTGCACATCTTTGCGCTCTGTAGTCTGTTCGTTTTGTCAAAGGAAACGTGATATATTGTCAGATTCAAACTGTATTTTCTCGCCGGCTAAAGCAAATCTTTCCCTGTAAGATCTACTTTCTAATAGAAAAGAAATTAACCGTAAATTTATTCATTAAATTCATGCGTGCACGTCTCCAATCACTAATAAATCTTTTATTCAAAGATCCAAGAGGAGAGTGAAATGTGGAGACAGCATGAGTTAATGAATACACGAAGAAATGAAACAAGTTGGTCATCGTCAAAGGACACAAAAAGGTAACATAATTATTCTTATGTGCCCAGAATAGACCTTGTCGTGGTTTTGGAAGCCATCTTGATGAGTAGGGAACTGCTTGAGAAATTACAGTGTTTGTATGAGAATCTAATGTTGAAAAACTTCCGTAAAAACGGGTGTTCTGAAAAAAATAATTATGAATTGTATACTAAAGCTACACAGCAATGGATTTTACCAACAAATTTTGGTGGCAATAATTGCGCTTAAATTTCTCCAGATGCTTGTTTTAGATTTTCCATATATTTTTTCTGCAATTTTTATTGTTCCTGAGATATTTTAGTTGGCAGGAAGAAAAATGTTTACAGACAAATGTATAGAACATTTGAAAAAGTGGTTCGAGCACATGCAACTGCATGTAACACCCTCAAACTTTTTCATTAGAATCGTTAGAAGTGAAGCTTTGGTTAACCAGGGCTGTCAAAAAGTTTTAAGCAGTAGCTTGATAATGAATACCTGTAGTAGGCGGCTTTAGAACTCGCACCAAAGGCACAAGTTCTTAAGGGCTGGAACATCTAGGGACATTTTGAAATTTAGAGTCTCGGAAATTGTGTTTCCAGGGGTTTTCAAGAGGTATTTTCCACCGCCAATGCCATGTTGTTTCGTCGGAATACATACAAGACTGTGAACAATGCTGTTGAAATGTCCTAGGCATTCCACGACATCGCACGGTTCGAACGTTTCACAGATCTAAACTTGTCTAAATATGCGTTCAATGTCATTCAAACCTGGGAAATGCATGCTTTACAATTTTATTCGATGGTGCTTATTTTTTTGTTAGCAGTTATAGCTCAGTTATGGTAGAAGGAGATGAAAGTAGCCTGATAAGGATTGCGAACTAGCCGGCAGTTTTGGCCAGCTACCATCCCTTATTGGTTATTCATATCTTTTTCAGAACAGCCATTTTACGGAAATTATTCCACAATTTCTGACTTGGTCACCTACTCGTCAAGTTGGCTTTAAAACTGTGGCAAGGTCTATGCAGAACTAGAAAAAAGCAGGCTAGAACTCCAGATTAACTCAAACTCAGAAACAGCCAGCATTATTCCAGGTTCTGTTTCACGGGAACGGTGGAACCCAGTTAGTTCAGACACCAAGGGAGAATGCCATAGTGTCCATAGTATCCGGGTGTCTGTATTAAGCGGGCTCTCAGGAAAAATGCCATGGACACGTGTTTTAACAACAATAACACAGACTTTTTTGCAAGACAATGTTGATGAATAACTGCAACTTATTATGGTTTATCCAAAAGAAAGCCGATGATCATTAAATTTTGTCATAGTCTTGGACTAAATTAACCTTTAGTTTTTAAACAAAGTGTTGTTCTTGATAAATGGTAATAGAATCCGTGACTTTTTCCTGATGCTTTTAGTTTGGGACTCAGCTGGGTGGATTGAATACTAGACAGAACTGCTTTGAAAGGTCATTCTCCCCATTTCTGTAAAGTTTTTACTTGTAAGGGGTTGAAAATATATGGGAATTCGGATGACTGTTGCGCATATCAAGTGGGTTTATTGTAAAGAAAATATATTAGCTTTGTGTGGTGACAACAACCCTGCAAGTTAAACTTTTCCTTTGGTGGCCATTTGGCGAGCAACTCTTTAGGTTTAGTTGCTAAAGGATTTTTTTAGGCGCCAAAATATATATCAATAATTGAGTTTTAATAATTGGTTAATAATTAATTTGGGCTTAAGAATGGTATTGTTGAACCAAAACAATGTCTCTAAACAGTATTTACCGTATTCACAAGTGTATACAGTAACTTATTATCCGTGCCGAGTAACATCCATGTCGTTTCTTCAAGTATCAGTTTTCTCTGGTCACCAACTTGGCGACTATTTTCTGAATCAAGTTGCCAGTACCAAAATGTTAGTCACCATGGCGCCAAAGTGGTCGCAGCTTGGAGGGTTGGAAAAAACAAAACTGGCCTTAGGTGTCTATATTAAGCGTGTGTCTGTACAGTGGGATTCCACTATAACTTAAAAGTCTGCTCTTTCCAAATTTTTCCAAGGCTTGTAGGACGAATGAGATGCGACAGTGAAGTTCAAGAGCCTAAAAGTAGTTTTTGGACGCAGCAATTGTTTAACTTTGAAGCAGCAGACTCTGGCAGGTTTGTATTTTCTTTCTCATCTAACTTTGTTTGATAAACTAAATTGTAGAGACTTACAGTACAGTTACAGATGTGTCTCACCAATCCAGTACAGTTGACACATGAAAGCAGTTTTATTTATGCATTGCGTCTTTTGTTTCTGATCTTTTTCATTGCACTGTCAGAGTACAACATGTATTAGCTGAAAGATGGAACAATGGTGTCAACTTAATTTTACTTTAAAAAATCTTATAAGCTGGTGATTGAAAACTTGTCACTGCGCTCTACTCGATAAAGTCACTTCCTGATTGAACAACTGTTTTTGTGGATATATATCTTGCTGGAATTTTGAATACCTAGCAAAATGTGCGGCCATTTGTGTGGAAAGGGCTAAAAGGCTGGTTTTTGCATGCAGTAAACTCGAGAATCACGCTTTAATATGTAGGAAAAGGAAAGGAAAAATAGCATGAGCTAGAAGAAGGGAAGGAGGGTAATCAATCAATAATTACACTCAAAGTTTTTGCATTGGCTACTTTGGGGATAGATGGGGTAGTTTTTGGCCAAAAAAAACCTGCTCAAAGAAACAGGTGTATTTGGTAGAACTTGTTTGGCAACATTGCTACAAAATGATTTTAAAATGTATGTTGTGCGTTTTACCACCCATGTCGCGTTCAAACCTGTTTTGCAGCAAACCAGGTTGTTGCAAGTTGCGTGAATACTGCCTTCTGATTGGATAAAATTATGCGAAAGTCACGCCATTCTCCGGATTTACGTCACTTGCTGCAAAACAAGTTTGCCTTGGGCCGGTAAAACATTTTGTTGCAAAAGTTAGAACTTCTCTCTTCTTTCTGGAAAAACCTTTCTCAACCTGCAATAATCCAATTTGTTGCAAGGCAGGTCTGAGTGGGAAAGCGCGTGACATCGCTACTCACCTCGTTTTGAAGCAATGTCGCAAAACAAGTTGCGCGTTTTTTGTTGTCCGTTTAGACAGCTAGTTATACAAGTCCGTGAGAGATAGTAAACTCACGAGACAATCATCTTTAAAAGTTAGGCACAGAATAATTCTGAACAATAAAGAACTGATGGAAAAATATATGTCTCCTTGAAGACTCCATTTAACACACTTTTATACATAATTTGTCAAGAATCAACTACTTTCTTTTGAAAAACGTTCAGTTCTTTCAAACAGGACAATTTTATTTAGCACATTTGGAAGCTCCTCCTCATTACAATATTGTCAAATTCTCTGAAATTCAGACTTAGCTTATTGGCTTTATTGCAAAAGAAATAATGTGACTGTGTACTCGTAAACAGCCAAATCTACGCCCCGCCGTGCAAGTCTTATGCGCGATATCGAAATGGCCAATGTAAAAACGGGTATTTCAAGTCGCATTATTTCCTGAATGTTCATTAATTATCAGATGGGGTCACAGTGGATACCGAGAGCTCTACCCAGAGGAGTTTGAGGAAAAAAGAAGTGACGAAACTCAGAAATCCAAGAAAAAGAAATCGAAAAAAGATAAAAGGTAGGTTAAACTTGACTCTGTTTCCGATCTGTAACAAACAGCACGCAGTAGGCCAGTCTCGAATTATAAGAGTTCATGCTTGACCCCGCGGCTGAGGGGTATAAAGCAAAAAAATCGCCTTTGTAAGGTCCTGATTAGAGATCTTTAGATACTAAGACGGGTACGATTACGATTACGAGATTTTCTCACTACTAAGTAGTGCTCGCGCGAGAACCAACGTTATTTTGGCGGTAAAAAGTGGTATCCATCGTCATTCTACAACGAGTTTTAGCGTGAGATGTCGCCGGAAGTGACGAAAACAAGATATCAAATGTTAGAAGTTTTATCATTTTGCGATCGGGAGAGAGCGTAACCTCCTGCACTAAAGATAACAGTGCTAACTTTTCTGGTGAAAAATGGTAAAATGAAGCTTTCCGGGAAGTCTATATTTTGAGAATACGCGAAAAATCTTTAAGTCAATTCTCGTACTCCATAGTCTTCCTCGTCCTCGAATCTAATAACAACTAGTACCGTGTAAAACATAGTTAGTAGAGGGGAACTGCTAAGGGAAAGTCGTTTGAATGGTAACAACAAATATTCCTTTTAATATTCCGTTATTTACCCTCGGCAGTATTTATAGCACTTATGCTAGTGGTGCCGAGCAAATGACTGAAACAAATAATTCAAATATAATCGAATATAACAGGGTTAAGAATACCAACTGGCCGGAGACAAACCAGCTGGCCATTTACAAGCGTGACCGAGGATTTGAACTCGGGACTACCAAGAACAAATCCAGCTAGCGGTCAGGCCGGGACTTGAACTTGGAGCCTTCGAATTGCAAGTCCAGCGGTCTAACCACTCGGCCACGCTGCCTCCTACGATTTGATCCGTAAGTTAGGATCACCTTATAAGAGCTCTGTCGTTCACTCCGGAGTTGAAAGGGTTGACGCAAGTTTCGGATCAATTTAGACTGCCCACCTACCCCTCCCCTTAGCCAACATCTCGTCCTAAGTGAGATGTAAGTGTTAATATTAGCTAAGGGGAGGGGTAGGTGGGCAGTTTCCCAGAAACCTAGATTAATCCCAAGTTTCGCCCCATGTCAGGGAATCCGATAAATTTTTGCTCGTGGAATCCGGAATCTTGGGATTTGTAATTCGGAATACAGCTCAAGGAATCCGGGATTCAACGAGCGATTGGACCCCGGAATCCAAGTTTCACTGACAAAGTCGGCAATCCAGTACCTGGAATCCGGAATCCACGGGCTGGAATCCAGAATAGAAGACTGCCTTGGATTTCCTTAATTGGGGCGACAAGTTACTTAAAGGAGCTGTGTCACGAAATTCAGCCAAATTAGGAAATTACAAAATGCCCGCTAAATTAAGAGAAGCATAAAAATAACCGCTTAAGACTTTAAAGGAAGGTTAAAGTAACATAACAGAAACAACAGATGCCACGGATGGGCAAAACTGAAGAAGATTCAAACGGATTGAAATTAGGGTTTTTGAAAAGTGTTCAGCCTAACAGTTTTTCAAAGTTGATCCCTGCTGCTTGCAACTTGAAACATAATGCTCAGGAGACATATTTGTTAGCCTCGGAAATTGTCATTTACATGTAATTTCTTTGCTTACTTTAAGTTCCATAGCGATTGAGGGCAAGTAATTGGCAAAATTAAACAAAATGAACTGGACTGCCGTGACACAGCCCCTTTAAACGGTCCGGCAACACAAAGATACGCCTCTTTTCTTTGCAGATCAGGATCTAATCGACACAGTGCAAGTAAAGAAAAGGGAAAGAAAGTGAAAGGCAAACGGAATAAAACTGAGTCCAGCCCCGAGATTTCTTGCGGAGAAAGTGGAGAAGGGTATAAACGGAAAAGAAAGCGAAAAACTAGGAGAAGCCCCAGCGAAGAACGTGGTCTATCGAACGAGAGGTTACGGAAGAAAGTAACAAGAAAGAAGACGGAGGAAATTTCTGATTCCGAGGCTAGAAAAACTGACGAAGAGAGCAGAGAAAGTTTTGACTCTGGGATTAAAAGGAAAGGCAGTAAAAAATATCGAATATCAAGTAGAAGGCGTAGAAAAGGTGAAGAGCGAATAAGGAAGAAAAAGGCTAGAGTATTAAGCTCTGACGAAGAAAGTAGTGAGAATTCTGAACGCAGGTCAATAATAAAACGAAAGAGAGGAGGAAGGCACAGTTCTGAAGAAAGCAGTTTATCAAGTGAGTTAGAAGAGAATGGAGGAAAAAGAAGGAGAAGAGAACATAGGGAAGACTTCAAGGATAAAGGCTTTGATGAAGAAAACGAGCGTGTTGAAGATGAAGAAAAACGACAGGGAAGTAACGGAAGTGACGGTGAAGAACGTGGCTCAAAAAATAAGGAAAACAGCAGTAGTACACGAAATGAAAGAGGGGAATTTGGAGCTCAGAGTTCTGACGATGAAAGCGAGAGTTATGAACACCACAAAAGAAAGCGAGAGGATGGTCACAGAAGAAATAGGGAAAGGCAACGTGTTTCTAAAAGGAAAGAAAACGAAGATAGGACAAACCGAAGAGAAAGAAAGAAATGTATAACTCGAAGTTCCGATGACGAAAGCGAAGAGAATTTTAATGGAGACATAAGGCAACGAAAGGGAGGTCGCGGAAGATATGACAAAGAACAGCATTTGTCAAAAAGGAAAGAAAATGAGAGCACGGGACGAAAAGATAGAGAGGAATTTAGACATCAAAGATCGGACGAAGAGAACGCTCAGGGTCATGATGCTGGAAGAAAGCGCAGTCTTGCCAAAAGAATAGCTAGCGACTCGGATGAAAAACATTCATCAGATGGAAGGGAAGGAGAGTACAAAAGGAAGGACAGTTTTTTATCAGAAGGGCAGAAGATCGAAGTGCCCTCAAGCAGGGACAGAAAAAAGCGAAATGAAAGAGAGCAAAGCAGAGGAAGTTCACGAAAACGAAAAAGAGAAAAACATCGCCTGGAAAGTATTGATACCGATAGTGAAGGCGAAGACTTACAATCACAAAGAAGGGAAAAATATCGAAGGAAGAAAGAGAATTGAAATTTTAACAAAAGGAAAAGGAAGCAAGGGAGGATTTAAAAAGGGTCGGGAAAAAATGATGAGGAAATATTTGCTCTATTTTACTTCATCTCAGTTCTTGACCTTTACAGAATTAAATCCTTTTATACAAATAGGTTATTGTTTTACTTTTCTTTTATTAATCCATGACTTTCTAGGCATGGTCGTTTACTTTATACGATCTGTTCACAGTCTCTGTTTTCTCTGCGAAATCTGGAAAGAACGCCATACATAGCTGGTAAACGAGCCCGATGGGGAGGGGGTAGTGAAAAAGATATTTTGAATTTTGCAATGAATTACGTCCTTGATTTCTTTTTCTAGTACTGCTACTACTACTATCATTATTATTATTATTATTATTATTATTATTATTATTATTATTATTATTATTATTATTATTATTTATGGTAATAGGACTGAGTGGAGTACAATAATGAGGGAGTAATCTGGCGAGTTTTTTGAAATCCCGATTTGAAATTACGAGCCCGATTACCCTTAAATAGTACGACACGAAGTCCTATTACCAATTAATTATGTTAATGACAAATTGCGAGAATCTCAGTCTTGGAATATTTATTAATGTAAGAGAACTATTCCAAAGCAAAAACATGATCGGTTACAACTTAAGATCGGAATGTAGACGCCCGACCACGTAATGAATTATTGTTTTTGTATTTAACAAGCTGTCAAAGCCTAAAGAAAAAAATATCTGCGTAAAAGTCACTGGACCAGTTAGTTTCATCCATTTTTCTTTTCCAGTTGAAGCCGGACAGCTTATCTGGTCGCTTTTTTTTCATTGATTTTGGTTGATTATGATGTGCTATGTAGTTAAGTTTCATTGGCCAATGGCATTTGCTACTTGATTTTCATTGGTTCATTACAAGCTCTTGGGAATCGGACAGATTTGGAGTTACAATAGTAAAATTAAGCTATAAATATGGGGTGTTAAGAACCAATCAGATTGGAGCATTTTGTTATTGACAAAATTATTATTATTATTATTATTATTATTATTATTATTATTATTATTTTATTATTGTTATTATTATTATTATTCTCATTTTAACATATTTGCATTTTTCGTCATTATAAAATTGTAAGATGACTGAACCGCAGTAAAAAGAAAAAAAACAATCTTTTAAAAGGCAATGGCAAATTTTCTTTTGTAATAGACATTATCCGTGTTTCTGCAGGTTCGCAGTAGAGACTTTGCGAGAAAATTAAAACTTTTGACAATTGTGCATGCATACTGTTCGAGTGTACCCAGTTAATATGACCACCGTGGGGCCAAAAATACTTAGTCAAGATGCCGGAACATATTAACGAGGAGCATGTGTCACATTATGGTAAAGCTTTTCTAAACTGTGCGATAACAACTTCACCAATTACTTGTCCTATAAATCTGTTGGCTACGTCACTGGAAAGCTCATTGACGTTCATCTCGCAACTCAGGGAAAAATTGCTAAGCATGTGTTAAATTGATTGCTTTCGGTAACTGCGGTTTCAGTCAGAAGCGTTCAACTGATTGTATTGGGAAGAACAAAACCGACCCGGGGGACCCTCAAAAGTCGATCGTTGTGTCTCTGTATAGATCGTTTTCACATGACGTCACGGCGGCCATATTTGTGTACAAAACAATGGATCGGCGGTCATGTTTGTGTACAAAAAAAAATCCCGTGGGAATTGAACTCTTTTCACATGTTAAAACTTTCTTTTATTCCAAGCAATTTGCAAAGCTGCTGACCACGTAACTGAAAACTAATGGCCTTGTGTTTGCCTTCAAGCTAGTTCAAGTTCCTCTCCACTACTGATAGTTAATGAACTTGGTACAATTCCTTGTCCTTGAGATGACATAAAATTACACTTTAGTTTCGTTCCACCTCGGTCTATTTGTTTCAGTATCCCGTTTCGTAAGTGTTTCATATTGTTCTAATGAAAACATTAATGCGGAACGGTAGTCTGGAACATCCCACGCTTCATATTAGTTTTAGACGTGTCTCCACGTAACGCTATAGGAAGAAATAAATACTTTGAAAACACTAATTAAGTTATTCAATTCAAATATTCCGGACGTACTTAAGGGAAGTTTGGGTCCCGGCGGGGTGGGGGTGGGGAGGGTACTCCGGATTTCAAGTGACAGGGATGGTCGAAGGATTTTTGGGGGTTTGAAATTTTAGATTTCGGGATTTTTGGGGGTAGCGGAGAATTTTGGCAAGTATTTTTTTTTTGGTAGCTTGAATTATGTAGCGTTTTTTGTAACCAATGTTTCTATTTTTTCGGTTATATCATTCAATGCTTTCTGGAATTTTTTATGGTGCGGAGATTCGGCATAGGATTTTTGGGGGGTTAAATGTTGGTCCATTATGGCCCTTTAACAAGATTGACTTTATCCTATTATAGTTTTGTTATTCATTAAAACACAAACACAAGTCAATATTGAGCAAAATAATATTTTTAAGTGCCTTTTTAAACATATTCAAATAAAAGACACCATTAGGGACTCTTACACAAAAAAGGCAACAAATGGCACTAAACTAGCCAGCTTCAAAAGACGCGGCCATCATCGTCGCTGATAGCTGACCGACTCTGTTTGCTGAAGCCAAGAGACCTTATTTCATGACTCAAATTCATGTTTTCTCCGAATACAGAACTAAGTCAATCATTTTAATAAACGTCATGAAACCAGGTTTTTGGGGAAAAAACTGTTGATTCTATCTATGCAGATTACTTTATCGCCAGCCTTCAAAAATACACCCTGTTCAAGACGGTAAATAATGAAATTGTCATGTATACCCCGTTTAAGACTTAAGATCCTGAAAAGTATAACCTGTTCAGCCGCACTCGCTTGTTTAGGCCAAATAAGGGAATACCCCCACCCCCTGGGTCTAGAATAAGCATAGGACACCAAATAAACTGGAATGTGTTAATATATTTCCTTTTAGCTTCAGACTTCACACTAAATACATACCTCCCTACTAGGCAGATATACACGTAACTAATTTAGGAAACGAAATACCGTTATTCTATTTTAATTTAAGAGTTTAGGGCAACGAAACTAGTACGTGCTAAAATGTTCAGTTTTATTATTCAGTGTATTTTCTTGTTATTTTTTGCGGGGGGGGGAGGGTGTTTAGTTTTCTGCACGTGTACCGAGTCAGGGAGCCAATTGCGATCATTCATTCTCATGTTCCCTATCAATTCTATTTTTCTAATACAATGGTGATGACATATAACAGCAGTGATAACTCAAGCGGGCATTTCTTTCATTTCGCAGCGTTACTAGGACTCCAATAAATGAAAAATACTTATTATGTCAACCATCTCGGTATTTTATTTTTAGTCGACCTTTATGTTTTCTTCGGTTTTAGTACAGTATTTGTAACTGGGAGAAACTGCTACAGAGATTGCAATTTTAAAATTGAGTATGTAATTATGCGTACGTATAAGTAAATACGTTGTTTGTGTTTATGTTGTAGTTCAAATTTCCTTGGTTTAAATTTTCTTTTCCTTTGTTTTGGGGTATGGTAATGTATGATAAAGAGTTTAAACAAAGGAAAATAAAATTTAGACCAAGGATAAAATTGAACTGCAAGCTAGATATACATGTATTTATTCTTCGCAATAGTGTGGAGAAGGCTGCTTATCAGAATGGGGAATTTCGATATTCCTTCCCATCACACGTTGCGGTCAAGCCTTCAAACCAAAGTTAATTTCGGATTTGTCGTTTAACAAATTTTCACAGTTAACTTTGGCTATTATTTTATTTGTGAACGCATCCCATTTAAAGCATGTGTTTTTTTTAGCTTAGCAAAAATGGTACTAGCGAAGGATATAGTTTTTATTCCCCGGGAAACCACTTTGCATGGACGTGACTTGTAAAAATATCTGCATCAACAACCCGCTATAAAAAAAAATATTTGCAAATGATGAAGATCAATTCAGTTTGAATTACTCAACTGCTTATTACCAATATTATCCAATGATTATTGGATTACGATAACTGGCGCAGCAACGGGTTAATACCCCCTGACATGCCCTGAGAATCGTATTTTTCACGGACGTGACCGTGATGTCAAAATCAACTTCCAACACTCTGCAAACAGTCCAAATCGAAACAAGTAATTTAAAAAAACGTCGAATTTGCATATTCTGATCGGAAAGAAAAATAATCATCCACTCAATTTTTAGAATAGACTCATGTTCGGCAGTGTCTGTTGTTTTTCTTTAACTGAAGTGCTCTAGTGTGAGTAGCGGATTGCCGAGTCTATTTTTAAACCTTAGTTTCAATTGTATGACAACATATGTTACGGAGCACGCAAATTAGACAAAGTCAACACCCAAGAAGTAGAGATTTAAGCATCTTGATTAATACCAAGAACAGTAAAACAAGAAAGTACTGCGCAAGTAATTTTCATTTTAGTCAGGTCACGCTTAACGATTTCATCCCGAGACGTAAAAGTCAGCAGGGAACAACAAGCTAAATACCACAGCAAAGAAATGCAAAGTGATTTACATAATTATTCGCACTTTCGAATTTCATCCTCAGACTAACAAAGTAAACTATTTTATTTGGCTTTTACAAAATACTGTTAAACGCCACAGGAAAGAACCGCTCAGTATATTTGAAGTGGCTGGGTATGGACCTGGCGGATTATTTCATCAAATATAGGTTATAAAGCCCTGTAACAAAGCAATTCCTCACAAAAAGGATATCCTAGTTATTTAATTTGAACTAAAAGAAAACAACAAAACAAAGCAACATCAATACTCGGACACCATTGCCGATTTCGCCGAAATTAGAGATGTATAAAAAATAATTCTAAAAATATATTGTGAGCGGGTTTGTGATACTTATACAGGAGTTTAGGTGAGGAAGACATATAACTTTCTATCAACAGAACAAACATTTCAAACGAGAATTCATTAACTGCTTCACTTCCCTATCTTCGGGAAACGAAAGAATTGACAGGCAGTTTATTCAGTTTATTTTCAAACAGTTGAAATACGTGATTTTGTTGTGGAAGTATGGGTCTTAAAAAAACCTCTGCAACGGCTTTTTTGGGGGTAACGTTTGCTGACACAATTTATTTTTGCGCGATATATGGTTCCTGCTCGATAACTGAGTTTCATGGTTTCATGTGCGATGCAGAACGGAACTAACAGGTCAGGCTTAATGAGTCCAGTAGGCTCGGAGTATAATGATTGAGCTTTTGCCGTAAGTCGAAGGCAGGTAGAAGTTGGAATTCTGCTATTCTTCTTCTCATGTCATTTTTATTCACTTGTATTCAAGTTTTTAGCGAAAAAGCTGTAGTGTTAAGAGGTTTACAATTTCCCTAACTTTTGAATAATGCTGAGGATAGGAAGTCTTTAAAGAACGTTTATAACATTTTATTTAATTTCCGACTTCAATATTCAGTTTAGGGCGTTGGAGGCAGGTTGGAAGTAATAAAGCTAAATTCAGAGAATTCCCCGAATCAACCGACAACACATTTATTTAGCTGCAATAAACTTTTTTTCCTCAAGAAAAATAATTTCGAAATCCAATTATCTTGAATTGAGTCCAGGAATGGGCTTGCCCGTGAAAAATATACACTCCCTCCTTTCTCCATGCTGTTTAGACGATTTGTTTGACGTCATTATTTTTCCGGCTATTATGTTCCGCTTACAGCACAACCAGAAGACACTTTCTGGGAAGGGGTAAGACTCTAAATTGTTTAACATGCGCGGAAACAAATGGTCGCTTTCCGCTGGAGTTAAAGCATCGCAATATTCATAGCCTTGGTTAAACTTCATGCATTGAAAGTCGTTTACGATTGTCATGAATTTTTTTTAGGTTAATGGTGGTATTTAATTAGTGCAATTTACTATCTCTCTGTGAGAATCATTTTGTCGTATCCGGTCGTATACGAGCGCTGAAACACGTGACTATTCCTTATAAAAATCGCTTGTCAGCAAACCTACTTTAGTCTCCACGAGGTTTCAGTTGTGGGCGTATTTGGTGTCGATCCTTAGTACTTTGGGTAGCGTTTTTAAACGTTTAAACGGTTGCTTCGAAGACTTTTAAGACAAGAATGACCCAAGAAACCACCGAGAACGAAACGGACGAATTTTGTGACGAGAAGATGGGGTAAGTTCATTTATTATCCGTACTTTGCTTGAAGCTATAAAGTTGATGATGCAAGCTGAAATTGCGTCGGCGGCCGGCAGTGTTTTCCCGGGAATCTTGATTTCTTTGTTGAGCTTTTTCTCATTGTGATCCAAAACAAGGATTTTTCGCTCTCTTCCACAATTTTTTGTGAACTAAAGGAAAGGGGAAGGTTGATGTGTTTGCAAGCAAAAATTTGTAAATCGAAGTACGCTTTGTTTAACGCTCGTGACTGTCACAGTGGACCGCTTCGAGTCCCTGATTGTACGAGTACAAGTTAAGTGAATTGGTTCAAAATAGCTCACTTAACAGATTTCGTGTAAGTTTTCATTTTTTCAAGTTTCGTTAGGTTTCATTTTGGTTATCTATCTCTCTTCCAATTTCCAAGTTTTCACTCGGTTTAATGTTGATTATTCGTGATGTTTTTCCGGGAACATGGGGTTAGGTAATTTCGTTGACGCGACTAAAAATCCTTTCTGTTCTTACAGGCGTGTTTGTTGCCGTTTCTTATGAAACGCTCGATAAAAAGTACCCGTTGGAATTTTTTTCTTTGAAAAAAGCTTCAAATTTTGATGTAATTTTCCCTATCCCTGGTAAAATACTATGACGTGTGAAATTTACTATATTGTACTAAAATCGTCACCTGACCTTGCGCGCTGTCGCGA